CTGATGCTGCTTGGCCTGCTGTGTTCATCCAGCTCTATACTTTGTTGCCTTGGATTCTCCAGCATCTGCAGTTCCTACTATCTCCGAAACAATCCTATCTTGCTAAATAGTTTCCATGTTCTTCTCTGCCAAGAAATAAAACCCACACTTGTTCTAATTACAGATGTTGCCTGGGCGTTTCAAAAATTAAGGCAACTGAGAGGCTTCCCAGTAATTTAAAAGTCAAGAATTCTCTTTCCAAAATCTTCTGAATAAAAGACAGAAACTCTTGAATTCTGAGTTCAACCTGAGTGTGGAGCAAATAAGAGTAAGAAAGTCTCATTCCATGGAACCAAGTCCCCTCTGGTTTCGTATGAAGTCAAGACTCTAGATTTGGACTGCCTTTATTTCATTAATTTTTCATTGCATTGTCACATAATTACAGTGCAAACACACCCAAAAACAAACTGATTTCAATTTTGGTTAGCATATTTCATTAATGTTTTGGAATGAAAAGATATTAAGTAATTTGAGGCATTAAAAGTATAAGCTTGGCTGATGCTGAAGATATAATGAATACAGAGCAGTGCAACTTGGATATGGAAAGAATAGTGCATTGATATTTCACCAAAATAGACAACACTTCTATATTTTATAGTCAAAAACATACACACTATTACATAGTTGCATATTCATGTGTGGTTGTATTCTTTGTCCTTTTACCTTATCTGGATTGCACAATAGGACAGCAACTGTTTTTTTAAAAAAATGAACAGCTGGTGCTTTTATGCAACCCCAATCATGCAAAAATTCCCCAAGTATATTGACAACATCGGAATTGTTTTCAACCTGCTGCCAGTCTTTTGTTTGGGCAGGAGGTGGGGGTGAGGCGAAGTGGCGGTGGAGGTGGTGTTGGAGGTTGAGTAGGCTCAACCTCCGATCATTTACACCTCATACACGAGTCAAACACACATTATGGACAAACTACGGACGCATACTGAATTATCGTAAATGCAACATCATGAAGATTAAACGTGAACTGAAGCCCTACATGTCTTCTAACTCAATGGCAGATTTATACAACCGAACATACTATAAAAGGGGAAACACTTACTCCTTTTGCCTCCTCGATTTGTTTTCAAAAAGTTCATTGAGGCAGATGGCTACCTGACCCAGGAATTTATCCAGCCCGACTAGGGAACGGTGCATGACAATCAAGTGGAGGATGTATTTCTCTGGAGTCCCCTGCAGCAGTAGACCAGGAAACTCGAAGGACACCTCCTCTTTCCATATCGGGCACAAGGTTTTCTCCGCCACCGAGGTTGAATATTTCTCTTTGCCCAGCTGGATGATGGTGTACGTGTCGTTGGTGCCGGTTTTGCTCTTGGGGTTGAGATCCCGGGCTTGCAAGACTGTCACTTGGACATGGGTAGGAAACCATGTCTGCGACTGCTCCGACAGCATCGTCTACCTATTTCTTTTCGTTTTGTTTGCTTCGTTCGGTTACCTCATTGAAAACGCGCTTAGTCGGCGAATATTTAAACTCGAGGGCGCCCCGACCGCGCCGCCTTCACATCCCCTCACTGCTGCCGGGACATAAAAGGCCGAAATGTGAAGAGAAAAGGCCGACTCCCCCTCACCGCCTCTGATTGCGGGGGGAAGGGTCAGAGGTCAGAGTTGAACCTCTTCCCCCGTCTCCCATAGCAACGCATTCGGCTTCGGTAACCCAGCGGGGATTTGTCCCGGGGTGTCACCACAAGGCCTGTATCTCCAAACCGATCTTCGAGGTAAGCAGTGTATTTACTGTTTTATTTTTGAAAAAATATATATACACACATAAATAAACGTGATGTGCAGAGAAATGTCTGTGTAACTGGAATCAGGACGCACGTTAATTTTTTTTCATCGAATAAACCTCAAAGGTGACAAGAAGGATTGAAAATCCCATTTAAACAGTTGCGTTTTGCTATTTTTTTTCTGGGTGTTTGCACACGTGAACGGAGGATTTATTGTTTTCTTTAAATGTGCGGATGCCCCTTAACCCGGCGTGCGACTCCCCCCCCCCCCCAAAGTGTTGGACTACGGTGGACGACATCAGAAATCATACAACACCAGCTTATAAACCAACAGGTTTATTTAAAATTACAAGCTTTCAGAGCTGTGCTCCTTTGTCAGGTGAACTATTGATTATAGTTGTATCATACCTTTTTGTCATGAAATTTCATGGTATATAGGTATTTTTTTGGAAACTTAGGTTGAAAAGTGGACTGACCATTTCATGGGTTTAAGATTGATTTGTATTTCTACATTATGTTTTTAGCACGATTTCGACCCAAGGCTCCACCTGGACCACTTTGAAAGTTTTTTATTTAATGTTCCCTGCTGTAGGAAGGATGTTATGAAACTTGAAAGGGTTCAGAAAAGATTTGCCAGAATGTTGTCAAGGTTGGAGGGTTTGAGCTGTAGGGAGAGGCTGAAGAGGCTGGGGCTATTTTCCATGGTGCATCAGAGGCTGAGGCGTGATCTTATCGAGGTTTATAAAATCAGAAGGGGCATGGATAGGTTAAATAGGCAAGGTCTTTTCTCTGGGGTGGGAGTCCAAAACTAGAAGACGTAGGTTTAAGGTGGAAAGGGAAAGATTGAAAGGGATCTAAGGGGGAACGTTTTCACACAAGAGGGTGGTGCGTGTGTGGAATGAGCTGTTACAGGAAGTGAGGGAGGCTTGTACAATTACAACATTTAAAAGGCATCTGGATGGGTACATGAAAAGGGAGGGTTTAAGAGGGATATGGGCCAAATGCTGGCAGATGGGACTAGGTTTATTTAGGAAATCTGGTTGGCATGGATAAGTTGGACCGAAGGGTATGTTTCCGTGCTGTACATCTCTATGACTCTGAGGAACTGGTGAAAATTCACTCTGTGCTCCCCACCTGCACCCAAGAATCCCATTCAAGAGTTCCTCAAGCTGTAGGTTGCATGCTGCCTGTCCTTCAAGGCACCAATGATGATTGTGGAGATGAGAGTTGCCTGGTTGAAAGGCTGTTGGGAAAACCCTGATCCTACTGGATCATTGCTGTTAAAAAGCAAGAGTTAGGGAGGGAATTCGATTTCAGATGCGACGAGTGCTGTACTAAGGGGATGGAGGAGGGGGGAGTGGGAAGTGTGGGCATAGATTCCTCTTTTTGGCAATCTCTGTTTGCAATGCAGGCCTGTTATAATGATATTTATTGACTGTTTCTTAAATCTCAATCAGTAACTAAAATGCTTAAATTATTAATTGCTAGGCAGTTTATGTGAATGTTTTCAGCATATGACCTGTAATGAGAGGAAATTAAAATAATTGTCATTGACATTAGTATTGTTTTTTTTTGCCAGGTCTGGATGACTTGGGATAACCCTTTTAAAAATGTTGTATATACCCTGATTCTGGGACTCCCAACTCATATCCAAATATGCCAATTTTCACGAGAGCTTTGAAGAATGCGAGTTGGTTTGGGCCATGAGCCCAAACTTTAGACTGCTGCTCTGTCCAGCTCCAATGCATGGGTAGGCATACCTAACCTCTCCATAATTCTTATGGAGTTGGGACAGCTTTTGAAAGACTGTTCATTCAGGACATGTCAAAGTTGTCATGAACTATAGTTTGCAAGAGAGACCATCTAAAAGATTATGTTGGCTATCAGTCAAGCATGCATAATAAAGTCTGAGAGCCCAAACATCCATTGGAGTACTGAAACAACTAAACCCAGGTCAAACATTGCTTGATTGATAGGTTAGGCTCTCTGATCTATGCTTTCAATTGCACAACATTTATTTGAAAGAAAATAATGGGTTTCGGGTCCTTGCAGATCCTGCTACTGATTATTTAAAGGCTATGGTTGACTTTTATTGAAATAGTAAATTGAAAGAACTGAATGAATGACATTTTTGAAAGATTTTTTGCACTTTCTCGTGAAAGGCTTCTTGGTTCTTTATAGCGTGTGACTACGGAAGTGCATGGGTTGGTATGATGGACATGTGGGGGAATGCTGGTTGGGTGGATGATATGCATGGGGATCATGATGAGCCATAGAGTTGAGTGGAGGGGAATGAGATGGTGTGGTTGGGGCGTTAGCAGTCTGTGGGGTAAGAGCTAGATGGCCTTACTGATTTTACTAGGAATAGACAAACTCACACAACCCTCAACCAGGCTGCCTCCAACCTCCTTCCTGGGCCAACTGACATGACTGCAGCCTATAACCATTGTCGCTAACTCCCACTAAAAATAGCACTTTCAGCGCCACACTGTTTTAAACTGGTCTACAAAGCTGAGAATTTCCTCAAATCCTGTTATTTGCCTTGAGGATGAAAATCCAGGCTTATATGATAGTTTCCTGCTCCTGCACTCTCCTTCAACTTTCCACTGAATAACAAATCCAGCCAGGTTACAAATTCCTCTTTGGATTATTATGCTGTAGTTCCTATAATGTGTTTCACACGCTTCAATAAGTCCTGATATGCCTTTTATCCTGAAAGGCATAATATAGATGTAAGTCAAGACTTTTTTTCCTTTGAACTGTTGCTAAACACTGACAATAAACAAACATAGTGGAATGTGTGATCTCTCCCACCCCTGTTTTTTTTCAGACCTCATCTGAGAGCCAAAGTGAAGTCACTCAACCACAACATGCAATCATCAGTTATAAGTATTCCTGGAAGTCAAAGTAATTTCTGATTTGGGGTCAAGCACTTAATGCTTGAATGATGGTGCCAACCTGTCCTGTTACAAAAACTCAAAACAAACTACCAGACACTGAATGAATAATAAAATGCAGTGAAATCAAACACATTTAAAGAACATCAGAAAGGATTCAATCAAATTTATATGGTACTGAGAAATCTGAGATAATATGTAGATATAGGCTGAATAAAAAGGTAAATAATAGCAAAAAGAAACAGGCAAAAGTCTGTAAAGAACCAGGACATGAGGAACATGATTCAGCTTGAATATAAACAGTACCTAAAGATTACTAAAATAGAAATCTGTAAAGTAAATAAGAAATTAGAAAGGAAAATTGCAGTGGTTTATCAAGGGGAATAAGAAGTTTTTCAGTTATGTTCACAGAAGGCAGAGGATTAGAGAACACTTTGGGCCTCTAAAGGATAAGACTAGCAGATTAGTTGTGGAGGATCAGGGCATGGATGCATTTTTAAATGTGTTCTTCAGTTTGGTTTTCGCAAGAGAGGATTCCTGATCCCGTAAATAAGATGACTGAGAGAGCTGGGAGTGTTTATTGAAGATAGATATTATTTGAGGAATTGTTATTAAGGACCTGAAGGCCTGACTGCGTACATCTGGGAATTCTTGAGCAAGCACAAGAAGAAATAGCAGATGCTTTGGCAGAATTCTTTTTTAGCTGCAGGAGAGCAGGTATAGCACCAAAGAAGATGGTGATGTGGTTCTTACTGTTGAGATTTACACAATAATATTCTTTTTGCTGAATGCTAGTATGGATTTAGGAGGCATCACTAAGTTAAGAGTAGTGGAGATGTAGTTGATGTAATACCATAGCCTAGATGACCAACATGTACTCAATAGATTTATTGGGAAACAAGTTACAAAAGCCACAATTTTAGGATTTAAAAGAAAAGCAATGAACAAAATATTAAGGAACTTTTTATTTAAGAAACAGGATAATGGAGTGATTACCTGGCTGAAGAGAAATAATCTTTGAGGCAGTGGTATTTAGGCAACTGCTGGGAAATGTGCTAACTAGGAGACAGTCAACATAGACGGATTTTCATGGAAAGCCATATATTGACGGTACTTGCAAGGTTCAGGTCAGACTAATGACATGAGAATTTGAGGAAAACTGGGATCTAAGATATGAATAGATTCACCTATGGTCAGAAAAGCAGTTTAAGATTCTCTTGACATTGTTAGTGACAAATACTTGGGAATGTAGAACAATTGATACATTAAAATTTCATTTCTGCCCAGCTCAAAATGAAGTAGGTAATAAACGTAGTGGGATTAATCTAGAAATTAAATGCACATATTATGCCTATAGAGTTTGGTATTTCTCACTAATGTCTGTCTTATAAAAATTGAACTGCCTCCAGTTGAAAGCAGGGCCTGCCATGTTTTACTGGCATCACAAGGAGGTTTCAGGCACTATTATGATCCATGTAGACATATTTTTGTGGGGTGGAAGCAGTGAATTTGAAAACATTGTCATACGAGACCTGAAAACAGAATTCAAAATTTGAGGTAACAAGGTGTAGAGCTGGATGAACACAGCAGGCCAAGCAGCATCAGAGGAGCAGGAAAGCTGACGTTTCGGGTCTAGACCCTTCTTCAGAAATGAGGGAAAGGAAGAGGATTCTGAAATAAATATGGAGAAAGGGGGAGGCGGATAGAAGATGGATAAAGGAGAAGATAGGTGGAGAGGAGACGGACAGGTCAAGGAGGTGGGGTTGGAGCCAGTAAAGGTGAGTGTAGGTGGGGAGGTAGGGAGGAGATAGGTCAGTCCAGGGAGGACAGACAGGTCAAGGGGGCGGGATGAGGTTAGTAGGTAGGAGATGGGGTTGGGGCTTGAGGTGGAAAGAGGGGAGGAAGAGGTGGGAGGAAGGACAGGTTAGGGAAGTGGGTACAAGCTGGGCTGGTTTTGGGATGTGGTCAGGGGAGGGGAGATTTTGAAGCTTGTGAAGTCCACATTGATACCATTGGGCTGCAGGGTTCCTAAGCGAAATATGAGATGCTGTTCCTGCAACCTTCGGGTGGCATCGTTGTGGCACTGCAGGAGGC